TTTAAGGACCCCCATAGGGACACGTGGGTTGGGAACCCCCCCTCAAGGACCCCCATGGGACCCCCATAGGACTGAGTGCGATGGGAACCCCCCCCTTAAGGACCCCTTTCTCTTAGGGACCCCAGTAGGGATATGGGGCTGGGACCCCTCATTAAGGACCCCTAAAAGGATGAGGGTATTGAGAACCCCGCTTTAAGGACCCCCATAGGGCCCCCCACTCCCCTTAGGGACCCCTATAGGGCTGAGTGTGATGAGAGCCCCCCCATAGGACCCCCATAGGGCCCCGTTTTCTTAAGGATCCCATTACTGATATGGGATTGGGAACCCCCCCTTAAGGACCCCCATAGGGCCCCATTTTCTTAAGGACCCCAATAGGGATATGGGGTTGGGACCCCTCATTAAGGACCCCTAAAAGGATGAGGGTGTTGAGAACCCCCCTTTAAGGACCCCCATAGGGACACGTGGGTTGGGAACCCCCCCCTATAACGACCCCCATAGAGCCTCCTCCCCTTAGGAACCCCTATAGGGCTGAGTGTGATGAGAGCCCCCTTAGGACCCCTTTTCTTAAGAATCCCTATAGGGATATGGGGTTGGAAACCCCCAAAGGGGCCCCTCCCCTTAGGGACCCCCATGGGGACACATGGGGTGGGAATCCCCCCTTAAAAACCCCCATAGGGATATGGGGTTGGGAACCCCCAGTAAGGACCTCAAGGTCCTTTAAGGACCCCAAAAAGGAAATGGGGTTGGGAACCCCCCTTAAGGACCCCATAGGACCCCAAGGTCCCTTAAGGACCCCAAAAAGGATATGGGGTTGGGAAACCCATTAAGGACCCCCATAGGACCCCAAGGTCCCTTAAGGACCCCAAAAAGGATATGGGGTTGGGAACCCCCTTAAGGACCCCATAGGACCCCAAGGTCCCTTAAGGACCCCAAAAAGGATATGGGGTTGGCAAACCCCCTTAAGGACCCCATAGGACCCCAAGGTCCTTTAAGGACCCCAAAAAGGATATGGGGTTGGGAAACCCCCATTAAGGACCCCCCTTAAGGACCCTTTTTTATAAGGACCCCAATAGGGATATGGGATTGGGAAAGCCCCCATTAAGGACCTCAAGGTCCCTTAAGGACCCCAAAAAGGATATGGGGTTGGGAACCCCCCTTAAGGACCCCAATAAGGATATGGGGTTGGGAAACCCCATTAAGGACCCCAATAAGGATATGGGGTTGGGAAACCCCCTTTAGGACCCCAATAAGGATGTGGGGTTGGGAAACCCCATTAAGGACCCCAAAAAGGATATGGGGTTGGGAAACCCCCTTTAGGACCCCAAGGTCCCTTGAGGACCCCAAAATGGAAATGGGGTTGGCAAACCCCCTTAAGGACCCCATAGGACCCCAAGGTCCCTTAAGGACCCCAATAAGGATATGGGGTTGGGAACCCCCTTAAGGACCCCAAAAAGGATATGGGGTTGGGAACCCCCTTAAGGACCCCAAAAAGGATATGGGGTTGGGAAACCCCATTAAGGACCCCCCTTAGGACCCTTTTTTATAAGGACCCCATAGGGATATGGGATTGGGAACTTCCAGAGGAGCCCCCTCCCTTTAGGGACCCCAATAGGGATGAGGGCATCCAGAACCCCCTATAGGATCCCCATAGGGACCCCCATCCCCCTCTTAGGCAGGGCGATCCCCTATAAATCTATGGGACTGCGGACCCCCCCTATAGGGACATGAGAGTGTGGATCCCCCCTTAATGACCCCATATAGACCCGAGGTTTGGGACCACCTCCCCCACCCCCCTTTTTAGGATCCTGACCCCAACCACCCCCCTCCTCCCCCCCCCTTAGGAACCCTAATAGGGACCCTCTATAGGGCCGTGGGGGATGGGGACGCCCTATATGGGATTTGTGGGGTGGGGGCTCACAGCTCTGCTTTGTCTCTGTAGGTTCTGCTGATGGACGGCGCTGAGATGGGGGAGATGTGGGGCGGCCCTATAGAGTTCTTGACCCTATAAAGTGCTCAGCCCCATAGCCATGTGTGGGGTGACCCCATAGCCATGTGTGGGGCGACCCCATAGAGTGTTTGGCCCCATAGCCACGTGTGGGGCGACCCCATAAAGTGTTCAGCCCCGTAACCATATATGGGGCTGCCCCATAGAGCGTTTGGCCCCATAGCCATGTGTGGGGTGACCCCATAAAGTGTTCGGCCCCGTAACCATATATGGGGCTGCCCCATAGCCATGTGTGGGGTGACCCCATAGAGCGTTTGGCCCCATAGCCATGTGTGGGGTGACCCCATAGAGTGTTTGGCCCCGTAACCATATGTGGGGTGACCCCATAGAGCGTTTGGCCCCGTAACCATGTGTGGGGCAACCCCATAGAGCGTTTGGCCCCATAGCCATATGTGGGGCGACCCCATAGAGTGCTTGGCCCCGTAACCATATGTGGGGTGACCCCATAGAGTGTTTGGCCCCATAGCCATGTGTGGGGTGACCCCATAGAGTGTTTGGCCCCATAACCATATGTGGGGCTGCCCTATAGAGTTTGGCCCTATAGCCGTGTGTGGGGCGGCCCCATAGCACCCTCAGCCCCATAAGTTCCCCCCAAATAAAGGCAGATTTTCTCCTCTATTGGGATCTTTTGTTTCTGCTGCCCTATAAACGGCATGTGGGGTTATGGGATTGGGGTGGCATTTGGGGTTTTGGGGTGGGATGTTGGGTTTGGGGTTTTGGGGTTGGATGTGGGGTTATGGGATTGGGGTTTTTTGGGTGGGATGTGGGGTTTTGGGGTTTATGGGATTGGGTTCATGGGGTTGGATGTGGGGTTGTAGGGTGGGATGTGGGGTCTTGGGGTGGGATGTGGGGTTATGGGGTTGGTAATGGAGTTGGGTTTGGGGTTTTGGGATGGGATGTGGAGTTATGGGGTTGGTTGTAGGGT